GAGGCAGCAGTGCTACCAACTGCACCACCTTGCAGCCCAACAAACGACATTACAAAACCAAATCTTAAAAACCTAACAAACTAAGGCTGTAATGGAAATCGTGTGATGTATGTCAGTCTGTTAATCAATTTACTGTTGTCTAGAATCACATTTTTATATTCACTTTATCCCTTTGTCACTTTTTAAAATATATATATACATCTTTAGGCTCTACAAAAGTCTTGTTTTTTCTTGCACCGTTTGTTAATGTATAGTTGTTCTTTGCACTGAATGGGATTGCACCTAATTTTGTTGTACTTTTTTTTGGTATAATGACACTAAAGGATTCTGATTGGCTGTCTACATCCAGCGCTGTGTGCCTGTACCTGTACGTATGTCCATCCACTCACCTTTAGGTATGGAGTCCATGCCTACGCAGAACGTGTGGTAACCTCGGTCACACTTGTCACAGAACATCATCTCGTCCTCGTGGTGGGGCTGCTGGCACACGGTGCACGTCTTACACTCCATACACTGCCAGCGGTACGTCTGGATCACACACACCAGCTCCGTGCTCATGTCCAAGCAGGACGGGTGACCTGAGGTTTACGGACACAGAGACACGGAAGCAAAAGAGCCAGAGACACACACGCACGCAAATAAATACGCAACACATGCAGACACGCACGGACAAACACACGGCGAGACACAAAGGTATAATGTTAACAGGCCCATGTGCACACATTAATACATACTGTTTTGTTATCTTAGACGAGCTCTCACAGACCCCTCAGACGGAGACTTATTGTGGGTCAACTTATTCATTTTTTCTAACCTCCCTCATACCATCATTAAAAAGAACATTTCAGGTCTCAGGTCAGGAGAAAATAAATACAATTTCCCAAATGCTTAACAGAGACAAGATAACTGTGCTGAGGTGTCTGAACTGTACACCAGTCATCAGTAACTCATTTTAAGATTCAATCATTAACATGACATAATTCTCTGTCTACATATTAACACAGTGTGTTTAAACAGCAGTATCAACACAATAAAACTATACGCTTACACACAATGACATGGAGGTGGCTGGTGGTTCAATAGACAAACACACAACTCACTTAACTAAATATGGTGATGATTTATAAGACTCTGAAGATACTGTGGGGGTATTTATCAGTTTATTTTAACACCACTAATGACTATAAACATAGTTTGCACAAAAACATGAAGACCACGATCATTACGGGGTTCTAAATTGCGCCAATGTTCAATAGCAAATACTGGAGAAAGTAAAAAATACATAAAAAAACAACAACAAAGCAGCAGGAGACTGCCCTATAAAATCAGTGTGTGAACTTACCGCTGTTATCACATTGGGAGCAGTGAATGAGAGCCTCTGGTTTGCCTTTCTTGTTGGCCTCTTTACCCTTCTGGCAAATGCCACATATAGCATTGGGAATGACCTTAGGCTGCAAGGGCAGAATAATGCTATAAAAACCAATCACACACGAGTATCCTGTTGTCATGGAAATACAGCAGTACACAGCATTTGTAATGCCTGGGAGAAAAAAAACAAACATTTTGTACAAAAAAAAACTTTTAGGGGTAAAGTACAGAATTTATCTGTTGACTGGTTCTTACACTTGAAACACAAACGTCATCACCTGAAGTCAAAGCTACTCTCCAACTCAAGCCTGACACTCGTATGTACAAATATACTGTACATCTTGTTATGTTACAAAACTGAGTCTTTGTTGAAAAGAGCGACCACAGAGTCGTGGACATCACAGCACCACAATTAATTCTGCATCAGCGTATCAAGTACCAAGAGATTCAAATATATCTCAGGGTATGAATACAAGAAAGACGTGTTGCTGACTTGCAAGAAGAGAGTCTCTTATTAAATGGTGGCTTGCATAACAGCAGACTGACTGTAAGGATCTTAAAGGTCTCCTTTTTAAATAGCATATTGATTATTTCCCAATATCTATCATGTCAGAATGTCCAATACTATTTGGTAAACATCCATACTGTGTCAAATTCCACTCTTTAATTTCTCTCAATGAAGGTTAAATTTACCAAAGAGATTAAAAGATGACAGAGAGGAAAGAAACAGAAAGAGCAGAAGGATAGGGAGGCTCAGGGGCATTTAAATCAGGATATCACACATTCAGACGCTAATACGTAAAGATCAGACACACTATTTTAAAAGACAATATCTTTAAGTTACTGGCTGAGGGTATAGATGGATTACTGCTATAAGTAGGAAAACAAAAGCCTTTACAGATCACTCAACTAAAGCTGACTTAAAATCAGTTCGACTATATTTTTCTTTCAGAAACAACGTGTATAAAGCTGAACTGACTTCATGGCAGAATCCCATTAACTAAACGTCTGCTCATGCAACACATTCACCTTGTTTTCTGTTTGTCATGTACAACGCATGAGTCTTTTTTTTGTTTAGCCTAAATCATGTCCCAGTAAGCTTAAACACTTCAAAATATGGTGTGACATCCTGCATGAAAACGTCCCCTGACAGGAAATGAACAGATAATGCCAAACAGCTATAAGGTACAAAACTATGGGTCAATAGAAGACATGGTTTGGTAATGATGAAAGTCCAACACTAGAAACGAAGCAGACAGCAGAACTAAGAGCAAGACAGCAGCAGGACAGGGAAGTGAGAAACTAAAGAACTGGATGTAGTCTTCTGAACTGCTTGTACAGATGTTTAGAAATTTGGCCTGACTGGATCACATGAAACCAGAACTAAAAGGTTTGTTACCATGAACTGACCCTTCACCACTGTAAAATGTGTGTACATGAAGTGCTAATGTACCAGCAGTAACCTACTCTGTTGTGAATACGTCTGGGTGATGCATCTCTTTACTGGAAACATCCACACAAAGAAAATGGAAAATGAGCAATTCAGAGGCTGAATCCAACTACTTTTAATACGCTTTATTCTCAGCTAACTGAATTTGGACAATAAACACCGAATATTATGCACATATAAGAAAAAAAAAACTTTGTATGTTTGCTTTCTATATGGTGGCCTCATATTGCTCTCAGGTTAGGTATAATTTGGTCACAGAGGTATACATACAAAAGGAGAAAGGTGGGAACTTCACACCGGCTGACCACACACTCACCCAAAGATGTTACATCAGTGGACCATGAGCTATAAACAGCTTGCTTTTGCTTTTGATGACAGCTCAGTCATAAATCTCTGCTGTCGATGGATTTCTGTAGCACGTTTTGTAGCTTTACAACTTTCTGCTCGCCTGCCATCTAGTGAAACTAATCTCTGCTCACCTGAATTCTTGCAAAATTATTGGCCCTCATATTAACTTGCCGGCCAGACAAAATAAATAAACTTTCTAACTTCCTTCTGAGGTTTGATCCAGCTCCACCACACTCCTGGGGCAACATGTTCTTATAATGTGCTGCAGCTGATGTGGAACCCCAGAGTGAATCCAGTGATTTTATCAATCTATCTGTACGCTACAGAAAGGCTGTGGAGCCACAGCTTTCCACACAATGTGCAATCATTGAAACTTAATTTGTCATATTTATGATGCAATATAAATGTATTAAACATGCAACATGTATCACATCTAAACAAAATATTGCTGTAGAGGCAGTTAGTCATCAATCAAATTCCAACTTTTTAGTTCATAATATTTTTTTTTATTTATGAGCGGTTTATGAAATACCACACTACTCAGAAGATTTAGAGAGTTTTGACCAAGCAGGAGTTAACCGCTGCATGTCCTGTAGATGGTAGCCAGACCAGAGCGAGGTAACGTTAACCAGCTAGAGGCCTGCATCACTAGCTGAAATCACTTTTGCTGTCACATGTGGTGTTGTTCTATTGGAGACATAACCATTAAGTCTTTCATATACTGTAATTTTCTAAAAAGAGGAAAATATATTAAAACTCTACCACTGAACAGGAGACCAGCACATTTAAACTCTACACTGCCACAGGCTTTTTTACTTTGGCCAATTTACTAGGAGCTACGAAATTCAGACTTGGTGTATATATAGGGTCTGAAAGGTATTACATCTACATCCTTTGGAATTGATCACATATTGATACAGTACAGGGAAGTCAATGACTAATTCTAGAGGTTTCTGGCTACCAACATGCCATGTTTGTATGCTCAAAATGCAAAATGATATTATGAATAAAGGTCGAGCCAAAGCTAAATTAAACATAAACACACTGAAACTTGTAACAGGTAACCAGACACTATTCGAGGACCACCATGCCCACACTACAAAGCTGAGCTGAGCTCAACTGGACATACCCAGGTCCATTATACTCCCTTTAATTGTTTTAAACCAGGGAATTTTCTTCTGCAAGGTTTTAGATTTGAAAAATAAACACTAATCAGAAAGTGCATAGCGGGCTGTGGGGAACAAGTGGTAACAGCGCCTCGAACATTTATGTAAAATTCAAGACTTTTACGTAACGTGAGTAGCATGACTGGGTGTAGGGGAAAGGAAAGCTGATGTGTGCTTGTCCGACTCAGACGGTCAGCATACAGACTACTTCTAGCTCAGCTCAGCGACAGTGTGAACAAGGTCAGCAAGTCCTCGTCTCTCCATGATGACATTAAAGGGACAGGTGATGCCCATGTCAAACAGCTGTCTGATACTCATTAACAGTACATCACATGGTGTATAAACAAAGCAGGTTATTTTACCAATACACACTTAAAACATTAAGGTTAAGTGCTTTCTACACTTCAGATAAAAATGTTAAAATTCTCTAGTGTTAACAGCAACTACTTTTTAAAAGCAACCACACTTGTATGTGGTTTATATTTTCTATATCAGAGTAACAAAAAGAATTTTCTTTTCAAAAATGAAAAAGGAAAACTAGCAGCCAAAACATCCACTTACTTGTCTTGGGAGTATCTTTTTTTTCTTTTCTTTTTTTTTTTAGACAAGTGAGGACAGACAAGAGGTATATTGAAGACAATAAAAAGGAAAAACTTTTAAAGTTCAAATTTGTCTTCGCTGAAAAACCAAAAAAGGTGAAAGTGCAGTGAAAAGAAACGAGTCAACTGTTCCTTTAAAATGTTCTTATTGCTCACAGTCTGGTACGAAGAGGAAAAAAAAAAGCCACGCGGCAATCATAAAAACAAAAACTGAAGACAGGACCCCCAGTGTGTGTCTGTGTGTGTGTCTGTGTGGACCAGGTTGTCCCAGCTGAAAAGCTGACAAACTGTAGAAGCCGGAGAACAAAGTGAAGAAAGCTAGGGAGGGGTGGCGGGATGGATGGAGTAAGGGAGTGGTAGTAGTAGAAAGAGGAGGAGGGGGTAGAAAAGTGCTGCTGCTGTTGTTGGAGAAGAGTTCAGGTGGTTTTGTCCTCTACCTTGTACCCTGGGGTGGCTTTGTGGGACGCAGAATGGCGCTGGTTGCCGTCTTTGCCTGGAGTTGACGTTCTGTCTTTGGCCTTGGACTTGTGGCCCTGTCCACCTCCGCCCTCCTGACTCTCCACGTCTGATGTGTTGCCTGAAGAACTGTCCTGTAGACAGAACAGTAACAGAGGAGGGTGGAGAACTAGTTAGGGACAAAAGGTATCACGCTGGTGCACAAGAATTGAATTTCAAGATATCTGACTTGTGTATAGTGGAGGTCAGTGATTTGAACATGAGATATACAATCTGTTACACAGCTACTGGATTAACTGCATGGTGGACTTCCATTAAACATAAGTATGGCTCATTTAGGATGAATGTGTGATCAGACACAGCTCATAGTCTGTGCACAGTCTAATGTCTTACAGATGAGTTCTTGTTCTTCTTTTCATCCTTGGCTTCCTCTGCGTCATCAGAGTCAGGTTCTGAGTCCAGCGCAGGAAGCTCTGGATCCAGTGGAGGCTCAAACAGAGCTGTGTTCAGCGGCAAGTATCGCAGCTCATTGGGAGAATACCTGTCATGCACAAAACAAGGACGCATGAGTGCAAAACACTGGGCACAGATGATGAGAGCTGCTGGGAGGATAGTTTACTTTGGAAAATCTAACAATTGGCTTTGAGTTGGTTACTCTGAATATGAAAGGAAACACTTTTGTTTTAGTGTGTAATGTACCTTTTGTAGTAGTCCTGGAACTGTCCGGGTATGAGAGCCACAGGGTAGGGCCCTGTTCTGGTGAGGTCTGGAGCCAACACCTTGAACCTGCCCTGGGGCACCTGGATAATCTGGAACAAGCACAACTTGTGTCAAAAATTCAACTTAAAACACAGCCAACAGTGAATTATTGCCCTTTTAATAAATCCCTGCATCCACTGCATTCCAAGTTGAGCTTACATGAGTCTGGAGGTCAAAGTAGGCTCTCCTCTCTTCCATACGCTCTCTGTTGAAGTTACTGTTGAATTCTGCAGCTTTTTTCGCTGCTTTCTTTATGTACTCAGGAACCTTGCTGGCTTCCACCTTCTGAGGGTTCTGCTGCTGCATTTGCTACGAGAAGACGACAAAGAATGTAACAACTAAGTAAATACATACATGCATGTAGATCTTTTTCATGCCCTTTGTGTACTTACAGAGTACTCTTTTGCTATTCTCTGTCGCTCCCTCTCCTGCAGTATGACTGAATACTCAGAGTGTTTGGTGGGATACTCCTTTATCATCAGATCTATCACCTCGTCGCTGCGCAGAGCTGTCAGACCTGCAGACAAACGTTCATAGACAGTGTGCACCCTGCATCAAGCTCACAGCTGCAATTTGCACTCTGAAAGTATTATGTTAAGAAAACACTGGGATGCTTTAGGATTGGTTTCTACCCAAAGTGCACTGTGTTTCAGTGATGACGTTCTGTTCACGAAGGTAGAGCTTCTCTTTGTGGGACAAGTCCCTCCTCTCCATATCTACAGAAGAATTAAAAAAAACACACCACTGGTCAACAGATACTTTTTCACGACAGATCATAGGTAAAGGCATCATTACCACCATATCCTTTCTCAAATATTATATTTATAAATGGACATGTTTTGCTGTCTAAATGTCTCACTTCTTACCAGGATACTTCCTCTTGAATGATGTGACTCCCAGATACTCGCTGACCTGCTCCTGCAGCATGTAATACTCTCCTGTATCATCTGGCGGCCACTTGTACTCTGTCAGATTTTCTGCTGGGAAATATGTCGGACTGGAAGGAAATGTGGAGGGACAATGACGGGTGGAGGATTAGAAACTATTTAAATGATGAGTCTTCTGTGGCATCTCTTTATGGGCATGAATACTGTTATGGGATGTTAGGAGAGACTGTCAGTTTCTCAGCTGCGACAGCAAATTTACAAGAAAAAGTAGAAATTATGTCTTAAAATTAAGAATAAAAAAGAGACTGAACAGGGCTTCAAATTGACAGATTGTTCTTGTTTTATCCAATATAATGTGTATAAATTAATGTATAAACATGTGCAGCAACCGTAAAAGATATATATTGCACCATAACAACAACAAACTTGCAATCTTAGATCATCAAAACTGCTAATAAAATAACAGCACTGTCATTTTATTGCTCCAAGCCAGCCTACCCAAGCTCTTGACTGGAGGTGTCACAGCTTCGAGAGCTGTCGCCTGAACCCATCCTCCTTCTCTTGGGAGGCTGGCTGCCATCATTGGACTCCTCTTCTATTACATCCTCCTACAGCGGAAAAGAAAAAACACAATTTCAACTCCACCCAGCATGCTTGAGTGCACATAATTATTTTTTGTTTGTGTAAATGGCGCAAGACAACAGGGTGTTTGTTGTATAATGCCAGGACAGGTGTTCATATTGCTGTCCCTCTTGATTATTTCGGCTGGCAAATGACAGGAGTCATTCAAGATTGGCTTAGTGTTTCTGAAACACTGTTATCATCAGCGGAAGTGGATAGAAAGAAAGAGGGAAGGTTCAGGAAACAAAAACATCTTTGGTGATTTAAGTTGTGTCTGTAGTAAGTGTCTCTTTAAGAACAACGGAAAAGAAGAAAACTAATACAGTACACACACACAGACACAATAAAATCACTTCAGTAACTGGTCAGGTGTTGAGCCAAAAACTGCATCCTGCTTTTATTTACAGCATAAACAGGCCAAATAAGTATTTCCAGTGTTCAGGTTGAAGGTGTTTGGTACGTCTAACATCCTTAACTAACTAACAAATCTTAACAACTGTAATTAACATGATTTATGGATAGGCTATTTGTTATCTCTTTTCCAATTATCCTATTAGCTGCTATCTTTCAAATACAACCCTCATAAATGAAATCAAGTTGTTTTTGTTTTTGATGCAATGGCAACCTTTTAGTCACAATGTAGTGGCTGCAGGTAAAAACTGCATTATTGGAGATTAATTAATCCTATTAAACTATTTCAAGTGGTTCTAAAAACATTATTATAATGAGGGACACAAAACAAGCAAGATGACATTAATCCACCACTAGTCTTTGGTAGGTGTACACTTCTGGTACAACACCTGTCGTTAAATTGGTTAATCAGAATGAAAATCTACTCATGAGTGGGTGCGATATAACTACGTACTGTGTTTGTATGACACCAAAACAAAAGCATGAGTTTACACACACACAGCTGGCAAAGTAACGTACTGACAGTAAGGACAGAGGGAAATGTTCAAACCACTCGTAATACACCATTACATTATTTAACACATTGCTTCTTACTTTAACACTTTAAAAACGCACACAGGTCTCTGTTTACAAACCACAACAGTGAAACACACGCTGGACAACACAGCTAATCATTCACCACACAGCTGAAAACAAAGGGGTGATGCTAATGTTGCCATTCATGGACGAAGGTGGCCGTTGGCTAGCCAGCTAGCTGTTAGCTCAGCCAGCAACCACACAGAGCTCCGGGAAGAAAGCTGTTAGTGGTTTGGGTTTTTTTCTTTTCTTTTCTTTTTTTTAGGACGTGCAAATGTCACCTTAATGGATTGTGCTCCGGGAGTAGCGGGGTTGCTGTCACAGGGCGGTCTGACGGGGAGCACAGCAGCCATATTTCGCTAAATAACGCCTGCAGCTAGGCTAGCTCACTAGCCGCGTCTTCGTTTCTTCTTCGCTTGTGCGGTTTTTCTGCGGTTGACAAACGTTTAGCTACAAGACGGACACCTGCTGGACTGGAGGGCGAATTGGAAATGGGCGGATATTTAACTACAACACACGGTAACTGTATTGTGTGGCTACTTAAATATACATTTTGAAACACGTTACAGACAAACTTTAAACGAATTTAAACGATACTAAAAAAGTGTGTCTAATAATCGTCACGCAGACAAACAGCGCCACCCAGCGGCGGCCTGCAGACGCTACACACATCTGAGGTCACGGATGAAACAAACCACGTACGGGAAGTCGGAGGGGGAAAATCAGCTGGAATCCGCGGAAATCCTCCACAGGACTATTTTTCCTTTACTTAGCAAGCTATCCATCTGTCAACTTCCATCCCTCCCTTCCTTCGTTTTGGCTGCCAAACCGGCACACTGGCGATGTCGGAGTCTTACGGTAAGGAGGCTGCTTTGACCGAGCGGTCGCCGTTTAACGGGATCCCGCAGCCACAGAGCGGGGATGAGGCAGGTGTGCCCAGCGGAGCTTTTTTCTCACCGTAAACAGATAGCTGACAGGCTAACCGAGCCTCGGTGGAGGCTGCTGGCCTTAAAAGTGCCGTGTCAGCGGGAGGAAATCCACGGAGGTTACGCGGCGGAGTTCACCGTCGCCGTGAAAACAAAATGTACCGACTTGACAAGGTTACAAACCGGATGAGAGGTTACCGGGCAGGAGGCTGGCAGACAGCTGGGTGGAGGATGGAGCTGCTTGGACATCTCACTGCTGATCGAGCTTCACCATTTTTCCTTTAGAATAATCATGATTTTTTTTGAAGTGTGCCCGTAGTCAGTGATTTATTCATGGTGGCCACAGGGCAGGGTTTGTTTATGTCACTACAGCTGACTGTAGTTGTGGTTTGCGTTTGTTTTTTTGTTTTTTTCATGCATTTACAAAAGAAGTTCGGCTGTTTTTACTAAAAGATGCTTGCAACTGAGCTGTACTCTGTTATGCATGTGAGATTCTGAGCATGATACTGATATCAGTATTGCAGAGCTGTAAAATCCAATAATCATCACCAGTAGCTACTTGTAGTTTACCATAAACACATAAACATGGAGTTGTTAAGTAATTAAGAGCAAGATGCTGTACTATGCAGTAGGTTTTACTGTTAAAACAATGATGGTGATGCTGTTACATTGACAGATCTTTCCCACTTTTCCGAACACATATCCACTTGCATATATCTTATGGTCCCAGTGGGGAAGTTGGTTTCATGCCACTCAATCACAACCTGGATTGCACGTATTAAACATGTCACACACATTGCAAATATTACAGAACTGTTGTTTCACCACTCAGTCAGCAGCCTTTAATATTTGAACTAAGTGAGGCACAAATTACTTTTTAAAATGGCTCATTTTACATCGGGATGCTTTATATTGCCGGCCAAAGTATAAGAACTCATAGTGGAGAATATGAGATGAGTCAGATGGTGCAGATTGATCATATATTGACCAGAGGGACTCGTATTCATTCCTCCCTGTAACCTTCATGGCAGTCTGTACGAGAGAAGCAAGCTAAGATTTAACTTGCATCTCTAATGCAGTCTGGTAGAATAAAAACATAATCCTCTGATCTCCCCTATACTCCTGTGTAAGAAGTGTGTTCTCTGCTGCAATGGAGAAACTTTGGACACTTGGTTTCTAGTTAAAGGCAGGAAACTACAACTGTGAAGATGAATGTTGTCTGTTGCTGTTATGACGTCTGTGAACGCCATAACAGTGGATAAATCATGTGTTGTGTACATGCGCCATTATTTCTGTGTTCCTTCCGCAGATTTCCTGTTTAAATTCCTGGTGATTGGGAACGCTGGAACAGGCAAATCCTGTCTGCTGCACCAGTTCATAGAGAAGAGATGTAAGTCAGGAAGCTGCAGCGTATCTTCTACTGGTTACTGTTCACACTGTTTCTCTGACTTCTGATGTTAGTGCAGGACTGTAATGACTTACAATACTGAACTATGTTCTGGTAGTACCGCAGACAAAAGGGAGAGTCATACACGAGTAATTCACACTGCGTTGAAGGCTATAGCAGTGGAATTGTAAATGTGTTGACATAAGTGTTAATGAGTAACCGACACGTATTTAGAGGCGATAATTGGAATCCTTTTTTTAGCGTCGTTGAGAAACAGCAGTGTGTTTCTAGAAACGTGTTAAGAACGGATAATGATACTCATTGTGCTGTACAGTGCTTTAAAAAAAAAAAACAACAACATGTACCATAGGCATGTCCTCTAAATTATTTAATAATGATGGCATGATTCCATGTTTTGCTTTGTGTTCCAGTTAAGGATGAATCCAACCACACGATTGGAGTAGAGTTTGGCTCTAAAATCATCAGTGTGGTCAACAAAATGGTCAAACTGCAGATTTGGGACACTGCAGGACAAGAAAGATTCAGGTAGGAAGCTGGAAAAATGTGCTCCTGAAACCTCATCGTTACCATTCAGTCGGCCATGTGTGCATGCAGTTATTTTATAGAAGATATATACAGTTAAAGTGTCATTTTCCACTATATATGTAAATCACAGGTGTAGCAGATCAGATGTTTCAGCGACACTGGAGTGCTGTATTGCTGAACAAATAGATTCTTTCTCACTGAGTGGTTGTGGTTGTTAAATATAGAAGCCAGATTTTGTATTGCATTATTTGTTTGTTTGTATGTTATGTTATTATGTTTTGTGTACAACAAGCTGCTCCAAGCATATTGCTCCTGCTGGGATTAATTAAGTTGTTTGCATTGTATTGCATTGTGCTGTAGAGACTGCTGAAACAGAGCTGTAAATTCATTTGTTCCACTTTCTACTGTGACAAGTCGAATTTTTTTTATTCTTCCTACGGGGGATGTAATTAACAAAGGTTTGGGGACCACTGGGTTAATCCACATCTATGGCTTTCAGAACAATGTAATGTATTCTATCTGTGTGTTTTAATTATATATATATATGTGTGTGTGTGTGTGTCTCAGGTCTGTGACCAGGAGTTACTACAGAGGAGCAGCAGGAGCCCTGCTGGTCTACGATATCACCAGGTATCACACAGCGTGACTCTCTGTCAGGTCTTTTGTTAGTTTGTGTGCCAGTCATAAAAAGTCATCTGTTTATGTCTTTTCCTTTATTTCTCTCTACGCTGCAGTCGAGAGACATACAACGCTCTGACCACATGGCTGAGTGATGCCAGGATGCTGGCCAGTCAAAACATTGTCATCATTCTGTGTGGGAACAAGAAGGACCTGGACGCTGACAGAGAGGTCACGTTTCTGGAGGCTTCACGCTTCGCTCAGGAAAACGGTGAGATCAAGTGATCAGGTGGGATTCTTGATCGCAAACCTCTAACAACAGATGAGGAGCCTCGCCAGGCATCGATCTGATATGTTACAGGAAGGACGTTGTTTATTTCATATGTCACGAGCGCTTTGCTTCTGTTTTTATTATGCTAATCATTGTAAATAGGTTGTTTTGACTACAGAGGACTGAAATAGCACACGCACTAGCTGCAGCGCTAATCAGATAATACTGGTTTGCATCACAGAACTGATGTTCCTGGAGACCAGCGCTCTAACAGGGGAGAACGTCGAAGAGGCCTTCGTCCAGTGCGCTCGGAAAATCCTCAACAAGATCGAGTCAGGTAGGAGCTGCAGCCTTCACCCATAACTGAAACCCCCCCAAGTCTAAATCCCGTCTTATCCTAACAGGATAAACAGCAGGCTTAGGTATGACTCCAGACCCCGCCGCCTCGAAGTCCTCAGAGAATTGTCAGAGCTAAAGTCGCAAACAAACCATATTTCCATCACTTACAAGTTCAGGCTACTCACCTTTCAACTGCTTGGCCTGGAAACGGCAAACTATGCATGAGTTCACAGCTGAACAGTGCTGCAGAGGGAAAAAAGAGGATCCACCCAGCTTTTCTTATCCAGCAGTAAACTCAGATGCCTAAATTCAAAGTAGGATGTCATGATATACAAGTGTGAAGATAGCCATGATCTTTTTGAAAAGAAGTATTTATATTGTCTAAATAATACACATACAATAATATAATAAATAGTACATTGCCGTAACGATCTAGTTGGAACTCCAACACTGAAACAACACAGCACAGTTACAGACTCTCTCTCCACCAATCATACTCGTAGTTTGAGTGACAGAACACACAATAAGATGAAGACAAATTTGACTACATTTCTAATCATATCACATCGATATCGTTACTGTGTATTCTGTTTGCCACAATAATCGTGTAGTAAAAATCTGACATTGTGACGCTCAGGACTGTTTGTTATGTCAGGATAGTGTCTTTTTCCACTCTCACTCTTCTGTCTTTTCACTACTCTCCTTGTCTTTTTTTTTTTTTAGGGGAACTGGATCCAGAGAGGATGGGCTCAGGTATCCAATATGGCGACGCAGCGCTACGACAGCTTCGTTCTCCTCGCCGTGCTCAGCCGCAGGGCACCCAGGAGTGCGGCTGCTAGTGGACGCGTCCTGTAACATACAGAGACGAGGTGAGCTCCCGCGTGTTGTTTGGTTTGTCACTGCTGTAGAACAATCATGTGAAGCTGTTGTTTACGAGCGGGCTGGAGTGACTTGATATTCTGCTCAATGCTCTCTGCAGCGTCCCTCAGATCTGTGCAGTCCATCACTCTTTGTCTGCGACACATCAGTCATCTGTGACAGTGGAGGGTTTAACTTCAGTCAAAATTCTCTTTTTTTCCCCCCCTGCTTCACTAATTGTGCATCTTTGTGTGCCTCCTTGTGATCTAAGAGGATTTTCCTGCTGATAATCATGAATTAGAGACTTAAAGGATGAAGTTTGTTTGTGTGATTCTCATTAAATCTCACAAAACAACCAAAACCAACAGCGCTGCATTTGTTTGTGTCTTAGCACTTCTTCCCAGCTTTTCTCTCAGCTCCATGACCGTTTGCTCCAGACATTAATCTTAAATTGAGAAATTGGCTTAATAGTTTCCCAGTACACTTGATGGGACTTTAGTTTGTTGGACTATTTACACAGAAGGTGTGTTTTTGGGGTTGGGCTGTTTGTGTTGATTTAGTGAGTATTTACAGCAGTAAGATGAAGTATGTATGACTGACTCAAAGTAAATGACAGTGATGTGTTCATCATAATGAAGTGTGTGTGTGTGTGTGTGTGTGTCACACAATGCAACAGTGTGACTCACTGGCGTACTTCTAAACATTTTTGGAGAGCAGCAGAGCTCTGTGGGAAGAAGAACAATCTGCAGCCTGCACTTCTGCAGCTCTTTGTCCAATATTGATGAGAATTGCTCATTAGGTGTATTAACGTAACTTGCTGATGCACCTCTGCCTCCACGTTGCTGCTTTACGGTGACACTATGTTTTATTTCTGTGTGTTGGAGACAGGTTTGTGAAGAGCAGGAGAAGAACAGCCACGGGAGACCCGACCACGTTGGGTTCTGGTTGCTATGCTGGTGACTCCTCCCTGACCTTCGACCTTTGCACGGACCCTTCAGAACCTTCGTTGTCATGGCTGCGCCTGCAGAGAACTGAACAGACTTCCCAGCCACGCCCCCTCTCAGAACTCTGAAGATCTCCAAGGTAACCAGAGACCGCCCACCCTCCAACAGTCTGCTCCCCTATTGGACCAAACTCTCCCCAGTCCTCCAGCCAGGATGTGAATTACTGACAGCTTCTCCTACCTTTCTACTTCACACCTGCCTACGCAGCTTATCACAGTTTTGTTTTCCTACTGGTTCCAGTCCAACTCCTCGCTGCTCTGTCTAAAGCAGGAGTCCACAGTTTGAGAGATTTGCTTTCTTTTTCGTGTGTTTCAACTAAACAAGATAGATATAACAGCTTATTTACACCCTTCTCAGACATGCAATATGTAACATTACTGACTTCATCAATCTGTTAAAGTAGCTGTATTCTGTTGTTCAGACAAAGGCCACTGTAACGTTAATGCTCCTCACTGCTTCATTCAGAGATAACAGTGCTGAATACAGCCACCGTACACACACGATACTTGCCGTACGTACAAGATCAGACAGTCAGCATGTCAACGTGTTGTGCATTCCCATCTATTAATGTGACAGCTGAGAGTGACACGTACAGGCTGCTAGGTCTGACCTAGTGAGATCGCCATCACAACTGTTACAGAAAATTAACCAGTGTGCTCATTCAGACATGAAGCCAACACTTTCAGATGCATCAGATTAATAGAAAGAAGTGCATGTCTGGCTTCAGTTAGCTTTTAAAGATGTTTTCATTTAAAGGTGGATTTTTGGAGCGAACCTGATGAGCGTTAATGCTAAGCTAAGCTAACTTCAGCTTGACATACTAATGGCAAGGTATCAATTTTGTCATCTAACTCTGAGCGAGAAGAACTGTCTGACTCCTCCTCTATCCACATAACCCTGCCCGTTTTATTGTACTTCCCTTCCTCTATCTACCTGCTCTGTTTACCTTTTAACCTCCTGCCTGCCTGTTTTAAACACACTAACAGTTCACAGACCAACTGTACATTTTGCACTCCCTGATCGCTTGCTTTCTCCTTAAACACGTTCTCTCTGAGCAAAGTTGCTTCCTGGAAATGCAGCCACCAAATGACACGTTATCAGTTTACCTGCTGTACCCTCCTGCCCTCGGCCCCTACCTTTCTTGCATTGTTTACATCCCCCCTTCGTCCCTCTCTGTCCTCCGGTCCCCCCTGCAGCATCGTATACACTGTACAGTGTTTTTCTGTATATAGAGACTGACGCATGTTTTCTCAAACAGAATATCAGAGTATTTCATTATGAAGATATATTATATGTATATTAAAGTAGATATCATATTCAGCATCTGTTTCATGCTCCACTGTATTATTATCATGTTACGCTACAATACACTGGCAACTTGTGAGCAGTACAGATGGGCAGTACTGTTTTCAGCAATGACGTGTATCGTTGATGTGGATTTTTCTAATCATTATGAGGACAAACATTCATTTGTGTGAAATGCCATTTTTTGGATTCACAGTGACAGGTTCAGGATTCACCACTGAGTTACATCGTAGTGTAACGCACATCTTTATTGAAAAGATTCCATTGATGACAAATGACTGATTTCTCACTTCTAAATGTTGCCTGTTTACATGAGACTGACTGACTGCTGCCAGCTGTGGGGTAATACTAACTAAATGCATTTCAAGTTTTAGCATCGATATAAAACTATCTGTTGTGTGCTTTAATTTATTTTTGTCTCCTCTTCAGCCACATTTAACACTAGTCAAAGAACTTAATTTGGGATTTTGTTTTTTCCAGATTTTGATCCAGAGGCATGTTTTTTGTTGCATTCAAGCATCGCAACGAGTCATTTTATGCTTTTAACATTTTTTTTTTATTCCTCAAAAATGACATATTTCAATTAGGCACACTTCAAACGGTAGAAATATTTCACATGAAAATATCCTCAAGTGTTTGATATCTGATGGTGGCTTTGGCTGCTCCACATCAGGTTCTTGTCTTGTGTTTATCTCATCAGGTCCTTTTGTTCTACATGTATGTATGTCCATTTCTCTCTTGTCATTATGAATATCATAGATTTTTAATTTATTGTGTATGATAAAATGCATATGTTTTTAAAATAAAAAACTACTGCAAATCCAGCATTGTCTTTCTGTCTATAAAAGCAAAACTATTTGTGTTTAAGTAAGAAAACAGATCAAATGAGTGGATTAGTATTAACAGTCACCCGCCACCCACTTCCAACTATTCAGGATATTCGTCATTAATTGGTCCGAATATCCGGAGAACAGTAAATGCTTTTCGGACCAGCGCTAAATAAGATTTAAACCAAAGAATGTGTACAAACAGACGGGTAAAAATGTGATTTGTCAAACACTTTATTACAAGCGTTACCATTTAAGCCAAACAAATCTTCTAATGCATTAATTCTGTACAGACAGTATAATAAAAGCCTCATATGTAAACAGAAAAACTTCACAAATTAGGCAGTTACACAGTATTCTAGTTGTTTACATCCTTTATGTTGTTAGTAACTTAGATTAATTTAGTAGTTGTTTGTAATGACAGGACCTTCAGCAACCCATTCATGAAATCTGGTGCTTTGTTTCCTGTTCAGTAAACCAGACTGCACTGTCAAAGTTCAGTGCTGCTGGTGCTTTATTGGTCAAAATCTCCACTTCTTCCTTCTTCTTAAAAATTCTAGAATCAAACTTTCCTGGACTGAATGAATATTGTGCTGTACATTACGAGGTGCATCTACAAAAGCATATGGAAAGTGTAGGTAAAATGTCTCTACAGTATAAACAAGAACTCCACTATAAAGTAACAAGTAACAAAGAATTAGGTTCAGTCCTAACTACCCTGTTTCATTCCTGTTCTCTGAGATTGTCAAAGGTCACCACATCATAAAAACACACTGGCTCAAATGCAGTTATTTACATTATCCTAATATTGCACAATAATATATTGCAGTATAACTTAAAACGTTGAGAAACTTTACAAAAAGCAAATCAAGGAATGTAATACTGAACTCAAATTCAAAGAAGAAAAAAAAAACAAACGTTAAAGTTTGAATGTAAAGCACAGGCCTCCCACCTACCTCCTAAATATCCACACCAAAAACATCAACAACAATAACAATCCAACAGTGACTGCAAAGGAGAAAATGCTTGTCTTTATGGCACAGAGCTGATGGTGTGGTCATAGCATTGATTATAACAGCCGCGAGGAGATCAGATCTCCTATGAAACAGGTCAAATTATTTTCTTATTAGAGTACAAATAATGTCTGATCTGTTCAGTCCATTCACAAAGGAGTTACATGAGAACTTGAAGTTACTTAGCCTGATATTTAGTACAGATATCATTTCAAAAAGGTGACAAATTCTGAAAGTGCAGTTTGATTTGGTCACAACTAAGCAGTAAATTAGTGAAACATACTAATCTGACTACAGGTTATTTCAGCATCGTTTCATGTCATCTTTTTGGCTCTAAAGCATATTCAGTGTGAAGTTTGGCCTCAACAACAAACACCTGATTGCTTTGCTTTGGAAGTGATCCAAATGACATGGATGCCATTTTCAATATGACACTTTTTCTGATGATGTCCCACAACCACTGGATGTATAAAAGAAAGACTACAGTATCCACAGAAACACACCATCACACACACCAGTCATCCAGTGGCTTTAAAAGACCTTATTAGCACCTGATGATTGAATACAAAACCATGATGTTGATTACAAAGCATCAATAACATGTGAAAGTGTTCGTGAGCTCATTAGAAAACGCAATTGCCACAACACACACGAGTGTAATTCTGAGTGTCAGCACAGTGATTCACTATCTATCTAAACCAAATCCATGTGGATCAATCAAACGTTACACAAACAAGAACCAGTTCACAGCAAGTGACCTAAAAATCTAAAGTTGTAACATTATTAGACACATTTATGTGTCGATAAATACTTTGAACTCAGCACTAAGAAAGCATATACCTACCAACATCAAAAGCCGCATAAATGTGAGAAAACCTTATCTGCTAAAGCCATTTTATACAATAATTTGGAATGCAAATAATGTGATTGTGTGTGTGTACAGGAAGTGATGTGTTGTTTACATAACCGTTCATTTCACGTCAGAAGTGTTTCAAAGACAAGGATTCATCTATTCAGACACTGTGCCTCCAGTACCGCCGTGTGAGTCCACTGTGGTTTGATATCTCTGTATAAAAATATGGACACGTCATATTTAAAGGGACTGCATCAAAGTATGGCTGTAAAATTCATTTTGGACTCCTCAAGCTCATCTATATATCTGAACAAGATAGATGTATTTGTTAACTATACATGTACTATAATTTCTTTCAAGAGTATCTTCTATCCTGTAAAAAGTTTCTCATTGTGCTGTATTTATTAAAACTGATGTATATAAAAACGTGACTGTACACATCTAAGGGAATAAGCCACACAGTGAAGTTCAATGTTCAAGATTTTGTCAGTTTGAATCCTGAATGGGAGATTGATAAACATTTAGGAGCCTTTGTATGAATCCACACCACACTGCTCTACTTCTCTACGTGTTTAAGCTTCAGTGGTGAGAGGCAATGATGGCTTTATGTTTGTATATTTATCTAGAATCATCCTGATGTCATTGTTTGTACTGTATGTGTCCTATCGGGAGCGAGCAGAGAAGCAGCGCATGTACTCAGTGAGCCAGGGGTTGTACTCGGTTTGGACCAGCTTCCTGGCCTTGTCCAGGTCAGCAGACTTAGCTCTCCGGCGCTCACTTCGTTGGGTCTGCATCTGACGCTCCACCTCCCGCCTGGTCTTTGCACGTAGAGCTGATTCATGGATCTAGCAGAAAAATAAATTAACCGTAAGGTCCTGCTGATCATTCTGCATGGACAGATCGACACGACGACAGGCAGAAGTATTACCTCATTAGTTGACGCCACAGGTCCAACATTGTGCGTCTTCCTGCTTGCCATGTCTGCATCCTTCTCCCCTGCACCGTACAGAGCGAAAGGATGTCGGCTGTCCTTGCTGTCGTCCCTGGGCTGCCGTGATGGTGCAGGCCTGACTCGCTGAGAGCGCCAAGTTTGTCTTGTGGATTTGGAGGGTTTACTCTGCTGCTGTTGGGGTCCTCCAGTGTCTTTCACTATAAAAGAATAGACAACGAGGTTGAAGCGTCACCAACATAGCAGGCAGTAGCATAACTGTAGTGTGAGAACAGCAACATTGTGCTTGCTAATATTGAAATATTCAAATGGGTTCAACTGGAACAAGAGTATCTGCAAGGAATTGAGCAATCCCATAAACATTTCATTCCAGTTTCTGGCTTAACACATATCAGATAGACCCTATACTCTAACTAAGGACAGTAGGAGTGAACAAAAATATGTGATTGCAGTTTTCCTGAAACATCATGCAGCAGCAATTTCTGATTTGCTGCATCATTTTTTAAAGCCAAGTTTAGGTTCAATATTTACTGTATAATAGATTTAAAACATGAGATTAAGTATTTCCACATGAGACACCATCAAATATGTGACGCTCCCACAAGGAGGACAGCATGAATTTTTCAAACTACTGTCACAATAGCTTGAAGCTGATGTCAGATGTGATGCATACCAAATATCTAAAATTGCTAATTGCAATGTCTCAAATTGCAATTTTGATTCAAAACTGATTAACCCAAACAGTCAGTACTTTTCTCCTTAGGCTCACCTTTGCCTCTGCGAGGAGTCGATAATGGTTTACTGCCTCGGCTGCTGGCTTCCTGCTCCTCTCCCTCCTCCTGCAGCACTCTTGTCTCCTTGGCACCGTCACACTGAGAGCCTGAGCAGGGAGTAACATCATGTGATACTGTAGAAGAACATGCATGCATCCCAATGTTTTAAATAAATAATTACATTTTATTAGCTTGTGATGAGGGGACCTTTAGAAACTCATTAAACCAGACTGCACTGTCAAACTTCAGTACTTCTGGAGCTTTATTGGCCAAAATCTGGTCTTCATCCTCCTTAATGATCTAAAAATTCTAGAGCAGGATGAGGGCTGAAAGGTGGATCAGTGGTTAGCACTGTTGCCTTGCAGGTAGAAGATCACGTCCTGATTGGGACACCCAGGATCTTTCTGCATGGAGTTTGCATGTTCTCACTGTGCAGCGTGGGTTCTCCAGCTTTCTCCCACAAGATCCAAAAACATGTTGAGGTTATTTGGTGATTCTAAATTGTCTGTAGGTGTGAATGTGAGTGTTCTTGGTTGTCTGTCTCTAAGTGATAGACTGGTGACCTGTCCAGGGTGTCCCCTGCCTTTGCCCTGAGTCAGCTGGAATAGACTCCAGTCCCCCCGCAACCCTAGTGAGGATTAAGCGGTGTATACATAATGGATGGATGGATGGATGGAGCAGAATGACCATTAGGGATGACACCAACCTGGATTCAATGAATATTTTGTCTCGGTGGATTTCTGCTCTACAAACACACGTGTAAAGTGCAGTATCTCCTCAGAGGAGGTAAAATGCCTCTGAAATATTAACAAGAACTCAACAATAAAGCTGGTGTCATTAACTACCTAACAAAGAATGAGGATCAGTACTAACTAGCCTGTGTCATTCCTGTTTTTGAGATTCCCAAAGCTCACCACATCATAAAATAACACGGGCTCAAATGCAGTTATTTACATGATCGCAATGTTGAGCAAATCTTTTTTACATATATATATTTAGATTTTTAAGATTATTTAAAATGCTAAATGTCTTGATTTTATAATTGATAACTACCGTGGCCTGCAGACTCATTCTTCTCCTCCTCATCTTGAATAGGAAGCCTGGGTACAGGGCCTGTGGCTGCGGTCTGCTGGTCCCTCCTCGCCCCCTCACACTCCTCCAGCTCCTCGGCCCGGTCTCTGCTGCCCTCGGCCCCTACCTGGTTCTTACTGGGAGGCGGAGGAGGAGGTGGAGTAGCGGGGCTTCGTCCTCCGGAGTCCGAATCGGTGTCGGAGCCAGTCCAGAACCAGGGGTTGTGTGTGTGCTCCAGCAGCCTGCGGGTCAGCCGGTACTTCAGCATCTCCTCGTAGCATTTGGTGTAGGTCTCCCATTTGGGGTCTTTGAATTTCTTCATGTACTCCGAGCGGATCCTCTTCGTCACCATGTTGTCCCTTCAGGAAACTGACCTGAAAAACAACAACAGAGAAGAAAACTCTGCTTTGAGTGTTGTTTCACACGCACAAGTGTACAGCAAATGATCTACACACGCTGAAAACACCGTGCATCGGCCTCAACAACACACCTACTAGCTGTCGTGTCCCTCCAGCGCCAGACATTTAAACCATAATGTGGAAGTCGTTAAAACCAATGGAAGAGCAGCAGGAGGTTTCCCCGCCTACTTCCTACTCCAGTTTCTGGTCAAGACGGTTATAAATTCGCCATTCCGGGTCGGCAAAGAACACAAAAGTCAAGTTTTGGTGAAATTAGAAACGGAAATATCCACTTTGTAAACAAATTCAGCGTGTATCTATAAAAAACGAGCCGCTGGTGAAAACGTGAAGAGCCGTTACGACATGCGCAGCAGAAATTTCTTGAACGTGATGACGTAGGCGGAAGCTCCTGCTCTGATTGGCTGCGGCGGTAACCCAGCACATGAAAGGTCAGCCGCCCCGGTGAGAAAACACCGCAGCCTCCGTCACCTGCTCACCTGCCACATCATAATCTGTTTTTATCGCTGGACTACGATGAATCGGCATCCCAGCGCTTCAAACAGGCTTATTTTAAAATGTTGTAATGTCATATACGCCACCACGCAGCAACAGAGTGTTAACGTATTGCTCATTTTATTGCTCTGCACAACGTTACCTCCTCATGACAAACCTGTCCGTGTGTGTATAGATGTCTGTTAATCATATGGTAATACGGTGCATCGATAATCGCCTGTCAGCGCTTACAGAAATAGCTCAGCAAACGTTAAATCTCGCTGACAATCCCTCGGCTTTCGTCTACAACAGCGCACGGCCTGACAGGAGAAATTCAGGGCGGTAAGAGTCTAATTTTGTGTACAGTAAATATACTTACACTGGGCTCGGATTTCACGGAAGCGCAGCAGAACAGATGGCGTTCACCGACAGCGCTGCTGTAATCACACAGGCTGCGTCTCCGAGCTTAGCTCCGCCCGCCTGGAGACGTTTTTAAAAAGCCAAACACACCCGCAACAGGTGGCCCGGGCCGGGATGTCAGGAATGCAGCCCAGCATTTGGCTGATAATGATTTCTGTCAGGTGGGGCCAAAGAGGAGGAAAGAACAATTTGTTTTATTGTATTTACGCATGAGGTCAAAGCTTAAAACGGGCTTTCCTGAGTAGCTCAACGTGTCGCCTCTTGAATCCGGGCAGATTGGGCTTTAATTGGCCACTGATGGCTCCGAGCAGCCTCGTGAAAATTCCGGTACAAAAGAAAATGGTTAAAAGGTGTCTGATCATTGGCTGCGTAAAAGGTCAAATGTGCGCACCTGCCCTCGGACGCGCCCTGCGCACTTCTTTGTCCTTTCAGCCCAGACCCAAACCCACACCCAGACAAGCGGGTGAGCTTCTATGCATATAAGGCAGGGCTGTGGAGATGCCCAACTGTACACGCGGCCTGGTTTTGTCTAAAGATGGTCTGGGGGCCGAGGGAGGCGCAGGACAGGCAGCTCAACTGGATTCAGAGTCGGGTGTCAGGTGTCCAATGCTACTGATCCGGGTCAGTCTAAAGCGGAGCTGCTGCTGCTGCCTTGGCGCATTCCTGGCAAGTCAAACTCCGACTGTCAGAGCTTGAGGGCGTCGCCTTTTACCACCCCTGTCACCGAGCAGCCCCCAGCGTACAGTAGCTGATGGGACAGAGAGCGCCTCCCTCCCTGTCACCCACCCAGCTATGATCCAGGGATCAGTACCAACACTCTTATGGAAATGTATGCACTTCCCCTCCACCCGATCAGGTGGGTGGCCTATGGGATCTGTGAAGTCTGTCATAAGTCCGTTTTTATTATTTTGATTAGTTTTTTCAATCTTTCCCTAATTCTTGCTTCTAAGTATTGTAGCTATTTTAAGATGCCTTTGTAACCTATTTGTGTGGTGATGAAGGCAAATTTAGTTGAAGATACCATTTAAATGCTAAAAATCACCCACATTTGACCATTTATTGTAATATTTACCAAAAAGCTTATGTCTCCTATCATCTCCAGGTACTGTCCCTCTAACATAAAAAACAAAGGCCAGGGCCAAAATATACCAAATAATGGACTTTAATAAATTATCAATATGTATATACACTTACATTCACATGTGTTGGGCAACATGTTGTTCTTATTTTTTTATTAAAGTTTTTTTTGGTGGATGCATGGTTCAGTGATGGTTTCACAGCCTTTCTCCGTGCAACACAGACAACAGACAGCTATAAAATATGCACATTTTAAAAGGATAAAAAATGCATATGAATGTCAATAGCGCAGACAGAAAGTCCATTGACAGCAGAGTGTTGCTGTGCCGCAGAGGTTGATCCTCCTCCTTGCTTGATCTCCAGATAGCTGGTGGTGAAATTGATGGAGAAGCTGGAGATGAAGATAGAGGATTTAGAAGCACTTCCTGTGGACAATGCTGGGGCCTGCCTCGTCGTACTCCTGCTTGGAGATCCACATCTGCTGGAAGGTGGACAGGGAAGCCAGGATAGAGCCACCGATCCAGACGGAGTACTTCCTCTCGGGAGGGGCAATGATCTAGAGGAGGAAGAGGAGGAGGAGAGTGTGTCAGTAAAGTGCCAGTATTTAATACTAAGTGGAGTCGTGCGTAATTGGTAATTTAGGCGTAGATATTTCAGTTTCTGTTTAAGTGATGTTTTTAGGTCTCATATTTAATTTAAATTTCAAGTACCTTGATCTTCATGGTGCTGGGGGCCAGAGCAGTGATCTCCTTCTGCATACGGTCAGCAATACCAGGGTACATGGTGGTACCGCCGGAGAGCACATTGTTGGCGTACAGATCCTTACGGATGTCAATGTCGCACTTCATGATGCTGTTGTAGGCAGTCTCATGAATACCAGCAGACTCCATACCTGGTCAGATGAGAGGGACAAGTGTTAAGAGAGCGGTACCCAGCATGACATAAGGCGCCATATATCTGATGCTGGTAATATTGAGAGAAATAAATGATTGTCTGAAGTACCGATGAAGGAAGGCTGGAAGAGGGTCTCGGGGCAACGGAACCTCTCGTTACCGATGGTGATGACCTGACCGTCGGGAAGCTCGTAGCTCTTCTCCAGGGAGGAGGAGGAGGCAGCGGTGGCCATCTCGTTCTCGAAGTCCAGAGCCACATAGCACAGCTTCTCCTTGATGTCGCGCACGATCTCACGCTCAGCTGTGGGGAGACAAGTTTATAAGATTACTCAGAGTGTCAGACCGCCGAGACCACAGACACTATATGCTTAATAACTAACGAACATATAGCCCTGAGCAACAAATGTTACTCCAAGTTACAGGAATTTCTTTCTACACTCCCTTTTCATTCTCTGCGTTAAAACAGTTACATTAAAACAGTATGCCCAGCAGCATTTCAGGGCACAGCGCGCACGAATATTACATTAAAAGGGTAAAGATTAAAGTTCTTTGTTTTTGTGCACGGCTGCTCTTACAAGCTGCGTAAATCCCTGATGCTGTGGGTCATATTTTAGATCGGCTGTCAAATTATTGCCGATAAAAGAAAATGTAAATTATGTTAATAATTTATATTCTTTTTCGTCAACTATTTTCCGTCTAAAAGTGGTGTAGAGGCTGATTTTTGATTCTTTCTTCCAGATCCTTTGGAATAGGAGGAGTTCCTCACCGGTGGTCACGAAAGAGTAGCCACGCTCAGTCAGGATCTTCATCAGGTAGTCGGTCAGATCGCGACCAGCCAGGTCCAGACGCATGATGGCGTGGGGCAGGGCGTAACCCTCATAGACTGGGACGTTGTGGGTCACACCATCACCAGCATCCAGCACAATACCTGAAGAGAGGCAAGGAGGGAGTTTAGTAAAGTCCGGAGCGACAAAAATCCACAAACTTTAAACTATTGTGCGTAAAAGTGTGACTACAGTGGATGCTTTACGGATAACTCAGCGCCATAAGAGTCAAAAACTTGAATAAACAGTCCCAGGAAGGCTGGTCGACTGTGCGTAAAAGTCGTGCGTAAAATGATTTAAATGGGAAAATGCCCCATTAACAGCTTAGTTAATAGTATGTGTTGCAATTGTATTGTACTTTTTTTCATTTATATGTGTTAATTACATTATATTCTATAATTCCGGTGATGTGTGTTATGTGTGTGTAGGAAGCTGCATCTGTGTCTTAAGTGTCAGCTGTTTGTTGCTGTCAGTCTCACCGGTGGTACGGCCGGAGGCGTACAGGGACAGGACAGCCTGGATGGCCACATACATGGCGGGGACGTTGAAGGTCTCAAACATGATCTGGGTCATCTTCTCTCTGTTGGCCTTGGGGTTCAGGGGAGCCTCAGTGAGCAGGGTGGGGTGCTCCTCGGGGGCAACTCTCAGCTCGTTGTAGAAGGTGTGGTGCCAGATCTTCTCCATGTCGTCCCAGTTGGTGATGATGCCGTGCTCAATGGGGTACTTCAGAGTCAGGATACCTCTCTTGCTCTGGGCCTCGTCGCCGACGTAGGAGTCCTTCTGACCCATACCGACCATGACACCCTGAAGGGGGAAAGAGGATAAACGAAAGGTTAACCGGGACGTAGAATAATCCATACAGATGTATGACCTTTTTCCGACAGATAAAAGTCTTTGGACGGGCATAGTGACGATTGCGTAAATGTGCTAGATAACAGCGTGGGTCACAGAGACAGACAGAGAGCAATTGTGAGACTGTCTGTTCACCTGTGACCAATTTAGACTCAAAGAGGCAAAGGCCACATTGCTGGAGTTACAGGGAGCCAAAATTACATGGCTCAAGATACATTATTCCACGCTGATATCACTTGTCACTCTTACACTGAAGTAATGGCAAAAATCTGCCAAATATTTTAACAAATCCAGCAGGATGCCTCTGCCATAAATAATGTAGCTACGAATGCTCAGTTGTTGTTTTATTTTTAAACTTAGTTTAAACATTTCTCTCATTTCTAGAATGAATTAACTGAGGAGTGTTAAATGCAATCAGTGTTAAATAATCACTGTCGCCAATTAGTC